ACGCTGCGGCTGGTGGGCAGTAAATCCCGGCATGGATGCCTGGATCGGCTGTCCACGAAGAGGCCCTGAACCCGAGCCGGGGAAAACAGAAAAATATTGCGAGGACGAGGGTTGGAATTCACGCGGGGAAGATAACATTAGAGGTAGGGTCGTCGATCTTGCTTCTAACTGAGAACTCTGCCACCCTGTGGTTCAACTGCTGGCCTCAACTTTTGCATGGAACTTGGAGGGGTTGGGGGGCTCGGAAAAGTGAGGTGTCTCTGGAGCATAAAAGAGAGGAGCAGAGGCTGAGGCTCTGAATGCAAGGCGCGTGTTCACAGGGTCACTAAGGAGCCCCAGGCTTGAAGTATCTCTGCAGAGAACCCCGCTCTCCATCTCGGAGTGTTAGAGACTGAAGCCACCTCCGCACCTATCTGCTGCCGGCCCTCTCTCCTCTCTTCGAGGCTTCCTGCTCCCTCTGCTGGCTCCTCTGGCACATGACACTCTCGGAATGTTTTGTAGGCAGCGACGTGGAGGGAGCTGGAGGAGGAACCTTGCCAGGTGTCCTCACCGAAGCTCAGTTAGGAGCCCAGGGAGGGGAACTAGTGAGCCAAGCGCTAAGAAACGGAGGGGCACACTGGCAGAGGCCGTGAGATCCCATGGGTAGTGCCTGACAGGGGAATACCCTGCCTCTTTGGATTTGTGTTGCCATGGTGACTGGATGAGAGGCGGCGTCTATCAATATTTCAGTTTCTCTGACCTTTATGCGAAAAAGGAGAATCGTGGTAGGGAAAAGTGTCCTTTCTCCTTTCTGTCACCTTTAGACAGATGTCTCCCATTTTAGTTCTGCCAAGGACCACCTCCTTGAGCCTGGAAGGTACGTGGGTAAATGTTCACAATGAAGATCAAGGGGCAAAAGCTAAAGAAAGCTAAGCCGGAGGTCTACGGCCCTAGAATGTGCGGCCCTAGAATGTGCGTAGTTACTATGGGGGTGGGCCACATAAAGAGCCCTGTTGGAGGCTGTCTCCCCCATATGGCTTTTTTTTTTCTTTTTTGGGGGAGAAGTTTCTGCTATACAACGGTGTGCTCACCAGAAAGATAGAGACAGAAAGCGAGAAATCGCCCCCCAGAGGGGATGGTCAGGCCACAATCCCTTCTCCTCCATTCTCCTCCATTCTCTTCTCTGGATCTTGGGGACGTGCTCAGCATGAGTTTAAGCCGCTGGGTCCGGGACTAGAACCGCCGTCGACTACATAGGAGTCCAGCGACATAGCCATTACGCTAACTGCTGGTCCCGCCCATATGGCTTTGACCCAGACCAGTTAGACTAGAAGGATCAAGGATCCAGCTCAGCCAGACCAGACCAATGAGTGTTGAAAGAAAAGGGACCAGGCCAGCCACATAGCTTAGTGGTTTAAAGAGTAGGGTCATACATGGTCGACTACGGTTCAAATCCTGACCCTGGGTAACTTGAGAAATTCACTGTATGGGGAACCAGCAGGTAGCGTGGTGGTTAAGGTGCTGAAAACTCCCACATGGCTCACCACGGTTCAAGTCCCAGACCTGGTGGCTTGCTTTCTCACTTTCTGGGTGTGGGTGTATGTGTCTCTCTGGTCAAATTAAATTAAATGAATGAATAAATAATTCTTTAAAAAATTCACTGTATGTGTGTGGGGGGAGGCACACAGGCCACACATCTCAAATGCTAACAGAACAGAGAAATGGTGACGGACTGCCATGTGACCACACCCCATTGGGAGGGGCTTTCTCCTTCTTTTCCTCTGTCTCTGGTGAGCACACCTGCCCTGTGGCAATGGAAGGAAAGAAAGAAAGGAGGAAGGAAGAAAGGGAAGGAGCGAGGGAGGGAGGAAGGGAGACAGGATGGAGGAATCAACCATGTGCCCCTTCTTCCAGAAGAGCTTTTCTTCTTCTTCTTCTTTTTAAAGAATTACTTATTTTGTTTCATTTATTTATTATTATTTTTAAAATTTACCATAAGGGGACCAGCAGGTGACATGGTGGTTAAGGCACTGGACACTCCCGCGTGGCCGACTGTGGTTCAAATACTGGACCTGGTGACTTGCTTTCTCACTTTCCATCTCTCTCTCTCTCTGTATCTCTCTCTGGTCAAATTAAAATAAAATGAATGAATAAACAAATAAATTTAAATAAATAAAATTTTTGAGAGGTTTTTGCTATAGGGTGTGTGCACTCACCAGACAGACAGAGAGAGACATAGAGACAGAAAGCGAGAAATCGCCCCCCAGGGGGGATGGTCACGCCGCAATCCCTTCTCCTCCATTCTCCTCCATTCTCTCAGGATCTTGGGCACGCACGCACACACGCCCAGAGTGAGTTTAAGCCACCGGGTCCAGGACTCGAACTACAGTCGACTACGTGGGAGTCCAGCGACATAGTCATTATGTTAATTGTTGGTCCCAATAAATAATTATTTCTTAAAATAAATAAATAAATTTACCATAAGACACAAGTGCTCACAGCTCTTTCTTTTTTTAATGATAATTTGTTTATTTAATTCCATTTGTTATTATTTTTAAAAATTTGACCAGAGAGAGACACTAAGAGAGAAAGAGAAAGGGAAACAGGAAGGCGGCCACCAGGTCCGGGACTCGAACCATGGTCAGCCTTAGTGGGAATCCAGAGCCCTTAACCACCATGCCACCTGCCAGCCAACCAGCTCTTTCAAAACATACTGCTTTCTTCTTCCAGGGCGGTTCAGTTGATCAAAAATTCTCAAACTTTTTTTTGAGGTGGGGGAGTTTACCATAGGGCCAGTGCGCTGGCCAGAGACAGTGAGAGGGAAAATGAGAACTCCCACCCCAGCTGATATCATAATCCCTTCTCCTCCATTCTCCTGGGATTTTGGGCACACATGACTCTGATGTGATTTTTAAAAAATATTTATTTATTTAATTCCATTTGTTATTACATTTTTAAATGATTTTTATAATTATTTTTATTTAACTTTATTTATTTATTTATTTTTAATTTGGCCAGAGATGGACAGAATGAGAGAGAAAGAAAGAAAGGGAAAGTGAGAAAGCAAGCCACCAGGTCCGGGACTTGAACCGCAGCCAGCCATGTGGGAGTACAGTGCCCTTAACCACACCTGCTGGCCCCAACAGTTTTAAAAATTTGGAAAGCAAGCCTCCAGTTCCAAGACTCAAACCACGGTTGGTCATGTGAGAATCCAGTGCCTTTAACCACCACTCCACCTGCCAGCCTTCTGATGTGATTTTTAAGCTGCCAGGTTCAGGACTTAAACCATGGTCAGCCATATGGGAGTCCAGCACCTTAACCACCTCCTGGCCCCATAATTCTCAAATTTTTCTTTTCTTTTTGGCTAGAGGATACATGGATTTGTCAGAGAAAAACAGAGAGAGAGGAGAAAGCACCTACCATGGAGAATGGTCATGCCAAAAATCTCTTCTCCATTTCTCTCTCCTTCAGGATTTTGAGCACATTGGGACCAGCAGTTGGCATAATGGCTATGTCGCTGGACTCCCATGTGGTCGACTGTGGTTCGAGTCCCAGACCCGGTGGCTTAAAACTCACGTTGGGCGCGTGTGCTTGCATGCCCAAGATCCCAAGAGGAGAATGGAGGAGAAGGGATTGCAGCATGGCCATCCCCCCTGGGGGGTGATTTCTTGCTTTCTGTCTCTGTGTCTCTCTCTCTTTCTGGCGAGCACACGCGCCCTATAGTGGGAAAAAAAAAAAACAAAAACCTCTTAAAAAAAAAAAAAAGGATTTTGAGCACATACCACGTTTTTCTCAAGCTGCTAGGTCCAGGATTCTAACCTTGTGGCTAGTCTGTGGGAACCAGCTCCCTTAACCACCAGACCACAAAGCCAGCCCACATTCTTTTTGGTTTTAAGACCCCTCTATATTCTTAAAAGTTACTGAACTTTCATTGTGTGATTTATATCTGTCAGTCTACCATATTAAAAAGTAGGACTGGGGCCAGCAGGTAGCATGGTGGTCAAGGTACTGGATCCTACATAGCTAACTCCTCCATTCAAGTCCTGGACCCAGCAGTTTGAAAAACATGCTGGACGGGGACCAGCAGTTAGCGTAATGGCTATGTTGCTGGACTCCCATGTAGTCATCCACGGTTCAAGTCCCAGACCCAGTGGCTTAAACTCATGCCAGGCGTATGTGCGTGCGTGCCCAAGATCTCGAGAGGAGAATGGAGGAGAAGGGATTGCGGCGTGACCATCCCTCCTGGGGGGTGATTTCTCGCTTTCTGTCTCTCTGTCTCTCTCTGTCTATCTGGTGAATGCACGCACCTTATAGCGAAAATCTCTCCAAAAAAAAGGAAAGAAAAACATGCTGGACACATATGCATGTGTACCCAAAGTCCTGAGAGGAGAGTGGAGGAGAAGGGATTATGGTATTGCCATCCCCCTAAGGGGAGGGTGATTTCTCACATTTCCTCTCTCTCTGTCTCTCTCCTGAGCCCAATAACAAAAACCTAAAAGAAAAAAAAATGTAGAACTGGAAAAAAAATGTAACGCAAGAATACAGAAGCACACATTCCATTAACAATGGTGTCAGAGCATGATGTAACCTCATGTCACACGCCTCTGGAAAACTCCAGTGTACCATCTTTGAAAGGAAGAGAATAAAAAGGCAAATAGCTTCTTAGTAATACTATGAAATTAGTTTTGTAAATAATCTTGGGGACACCCCTGGAAAGGGAATCAGGGACTTCCCCCAGGTCCCCAGACCATACTTTGAAAAGCATTGCTCTGGACCATCACCCCAGCCCTTCTTCATGACTCACACTTGTTGATTTTCTCTCTCAGTTTTATTAGGAAAGTATAAATGTTTGTCTCCCCAGCACATCCTGTCCCCCAGGGAAAACCAGAGAATTTCTGAGGCTCAGCACCCCTCTTTCCTGACTCCCATTTCTGAGGCTGTCCTCAACACCCTCCCTCAAGACTTGCCCATCTCCCTTTGGACCCTCCTGAAAGCCGTCCGACCTCCCCAGCCTGGAGCAGCCTGTCTGCGATGCCCAATCCTGCCGGGTCCTCTGTGGCTTCCTCTCTCCCTCGCTAGAGGACTTTCTCTTCTTGAGAAAGACCAAGTGCATTTTCTCTGTCTTCTCCTTCCCTCCCTCCTCCCTCCCTAGCCCCTGTCATCTTTACAGAGCGGAGGGTCGGGAATCATGCTTTCTGCACAGACCCCTTTACAGGAAACACCTTACCCACCTCCTGCACACATGAACCAGCCTGGAATAGACCAGAACCTGGGACAAGAAAGTGCCTGCATGGGTCCCAGTCATATTGCCAGGTGGCCTGTCGGGTGGGGTGTAAATCAGGAATCTGTGCCTCCAGCCATAGATGCCCTTCATCTTGGGGCCCCCAACTTGAACTCTTCACTCCATCTGCCCAGGTCCTCCTGCTAGCTGCAGCCGCAGGCCTCCACCACCATATCTGGCACATCCGTCTTGACCACATTGCCATTTTGGTCAAGGTAGAGGAGAGAGAGAGGTCTTCGGGCAGTAGGGACACAGCAGGAAGTACCTGCAGGCCAAGGATTGTTGGCTTTGAGGAGGTTGAAGACAGCAGAGTGGAAGGAAGCAGCAATACCTGGGCTGCCAGCCAGGTGTGGGGGGCACTGCCCACTGCAGTAATTCAGCTGATAGCCCTCAGGCTGCAGGATCCAGTCCCGCCATCCCAGTTCCTGGAAGTCGACATAACGGTCTCGCCTACAACATAGGGGCGTCTCAGGCTCACAGGTGGGGGTCCTCCTCTTGGTCCGGCCTGTTCCCGGCCCATTGGCCCGGATCTTAAGTTCCAGGAAGGGCCGCTGGTGTGCTGCTGTGTCCAGGAGCTGCCTTGGTTGTCCAGCAGCTGTGCTGTTGCCGTCTAGAAGCCTGCAGTCCAGCTGGAGCTTCAGGACACCAGACTCCTCAGCCTTCAGGCCACTAGAGGGCAGAGTCAGGGCATGCCAGCCCGGGGTTGTCATTTGGTGCTCAGCTAGGAGGGTGTGGGATCTGCCGTGCCTCCTCCTTGGGCCCCATTGGAAGATCCTCATGTAAAGAGCGCCCGGCAGTGTAGCAGGCACGTGCAGCCAGAGGCGGGCATGGTGTAGGTGGTAGGACTGAGGAACGGACAGGTGGAAGGTGAGCATGGAACTGCAGGTTGAGGTGGAGGAGCCTGGTGGAGAAATACAGAGGGGAACGAGAAATGTGAGTGGAGGTGAAGTTCTACAGGGACCCACCTTGAGAGAAAGCAAGGATAGGGGGCCGGCAGGTAGCATGGTGGTTAAGGTGCTACATGACAACCATGGTGTGAGTCCCAGACCTGGTGGCTTGCTTTCTCACTTTCCCTCTCTCTCTTTCTGGTCAAATAAAAAAATAATAATAATAAAATAAATAATTCTTTAATTAAAAAATAAGATAAAAAGGAAAGACAAAGAGAAAGCAGGGATGGGGGATAGAGTGGTGGTTGAAGTGGCTGGGGACCACACGAATGAATCTGGGTTTT